AAAATCTGAAAATGGCATAAATATCCATATAAAACACTCATCAGTCTACAATGATGCTTTGCCTGTTGTAAATGTGAACAGATTAAAAACGTATAATTTATGAAATAAAACGGACCATCACTCTCACCCAAGACCCATGGTTGAACCCGCCGGGGACTTTTTGTCGCGGGTCCCTTTTCGTTGGGGACCTAATCTTGCGGAGCCATTAGAAATTGGGTTCACGCGAATATCAGACGCATTCTCTTCGTTTCCTGTTATTGTTTTCGATAAAGAAAATCCGGGTGATTTTTGGAATTGACGCCGGGTCTTGAATGTGACTGAACCCACTCAAATGATTTTTAATGACTCGGAAATATTTTTTTAAACTTTCCATCTCTTAGAATAAGCTCTAAGCAAGTTCTGCCTTGATTGGCTACAGTATTTCACCACAGGATGAGGTTTTTTTTTGTTTGAAAAGCGTAAGTGTGGTCTATACTAAGGATATATGTGGGTTAGGCAACACTGATACATAAGTCAAAGAAGAAATCAAGCATTGTTTAATTACCAGCCTGCTAAATGATGAATTCGAAAAACTAATTTTTGTATGTGGCCTGAGTGGCTCTTTCTTGGACATGATTTTCCTGAATGCCTAAATTCTATGGATGACACATTTTCTGATGGAAATACAAAAAAATTAAATTTTCAAATACAGTTTGTTCTTGCTAACTCAGAGCTCCCAAGTCAAAAACTTCACTTTTCAAATCCTTCTGAGCTCCTCTCTGAATCCCCGTAATTTACTGAAACTTCTGATGGCTGTCGGGCTATTATTCAGGGGACCCAGGATAGAGAAAAGCGATAAAAATGTAAGTTTTTTTAAATTAAGTGAGCTACTAACTGGGCATTTGTACACTTGTCTCCCAAGTTCAGCATCTCCAGTTTTGAACTCCAGATTGTTATTTTTCAAATAGTGTCCCCACTAAAGATTAGGGTTTCCATAACTCTAGAACTCCCTGTATCAAATTTGTTCAGGTCCCTCGAAGTTTGACTTGAAGAGATTTTACCAGAAGAAAGTATCTCGCAGCTTATTCCGGAGTCGTACGGTAATTGAGATATTGCAGGCGAGGTTATTATTGCGCGAAAGAAAGAAAAATTAACCTGTATTTACGATTGCAAACAGGGAATGGTTCATTTTACAACAAGCCTAATTTTAATATCAGGTTGAAGTTCCTGGAAATTTGAGTCGGGTGTTGGAATTGATAGCGTCTCATATTCGCGTGAGGAAGGGATATTGCTTATTTTTCGGAAATGGGATCCAATGACGAGAAAGCCGTGCCATCATTACTTGATTATCAAAAGATCAATTTTGCTTCTTTTTTTACGTTACGGTGCGATGGCAATTTTTTCCTCTACAATTTTTTGGTTTTTTATTTGTAGATTTCTTCAAAAGTTTATGGAAGATTGATCGGTGTGTCCGTCTTTCAGATGTTGCGTTGATTATTTTTTTTGAGCACGTGCAAGAGAAGTCGGTGGTGTGTCAAAATGCCGATGTACTTCAATGGCGAGTTGCCGCTGGAAAATTTTCTCTTTCCGGGTCTGACTGCGAATGCTTGGGAAGGTGAGCAACTGGAAAAGGCTTGGTTTTTTTTTTCATTTACTTTACTGTAATTTGTTATCCTATTTCCTGAAGAAATACAAGAATCGGTGAATCTTAAACAAATGCTTACTATTACGTCTAATGGTAAGTTTGTTACCGATCTCGAATCTTGGAATAACTAATTCTATCCTGGGTTTTTCACAATTGTCTTCCGCGTCCTTTGCGGGCAAAAGGATTTTTAGCAGTTAAATAAGTAAGCACCAGGATCTCTGCTGAGAGGCAAGCAATATGTATTTCGGTGNCAAGTACTGCGCCCACCACTTCTTCAACGCTCTACAAATCAATAAAAAAATAGTTCGAAGAAATGAAAACCCGATTAACTCACCTGAAAGAATTGAAAATTATACTCTAACTTTTCTACAGCACAAAGGCTTGTTTCAAGTCTGGGGTTCGATTTGGAGAAAACAAGGGTTGTTCCAGTTGGACGTGACCTCGGATATTTTTAAAGTAGGTGTGATAGTAAAAAAAAAATTCAATAGTCCATAATTTTCCAAGGTTCTGGGATTAAAAAAAAATTTTTCAAGCAATTTACTTCAAGGTTAGAAGTTAAACATTTTCAGTTACAGCTGGAGTTCTCCACCCTTGCCACAGGGTGCTAAAAATGTGTTCAGCCAGCTAAAAATTTGCATTTTTTGATTTCAAGCATCATATAAAATGTAGAAAAACTGTGGGCAAAACAAAAAAGCAACTTTTTAGCTAGACATGGGTGGAGAACTCTGGCTGTAACTGGAAACTTTTTACTTAACATCATGCAGTCACAGTAATTGTAATATACCACAATCTTAGAACATCGTGGACTATGTCATTACTCCATTTTTTTTTTTTACAATTACACCTAATCTAAAAATATCTGAGGCCGCGTCCAACCGGGACAACCCTCGTACAGTATTTTGACGCACAAACATCGATACACAGAAAACCCAAAGGACTTGATTTCAATTTGATTACATCAGGCACCCGATATAATCAAAGGTATTCTTCCCCAACAATGGTAAAACTTGAAAGAAACAGAGCAAAATTTAACTCACGGATCTTTTGATTGCACGACGTATGCTTCCAACGCGGCGGGGTCATCGAACAGCATGCGAGGAACCTCAAAGCGCTGGGTATCGGATTTTTCGAAGTAGTTTATGGCTCCGCTTATATCGCCTGTTGAGAACGTCAAACAAAATGTGTTTGATATGCAGTTTTAATCCCTCCAGTTGACAAATGAAACGTGTTTCTTCCAGTCAAAGAACAGCCACACGTACTCCGAAGTAAGTAGAGAATTTCCGAATTTGTTCTTTCCTCCACGAACAAAAAGTCTTATAGGATAGTAATTTCTAAAATTTATCTGAATCCCATCCCTTACAAGACATAGAAATGTTCGTGTACCAATGCACCTCATGGATATTATTAGTCGTGACTTGAATTAAAAAATAAAGATGTACAGTATCAGTTTGCGATACGACAGTTTTAAAATCGCCACCCGAAACCTCCGCATTCAGAATGCAACTTTCGGGGTTTTTTATGATTGTAAAAAACTAAAAACTAAATAACAAGGATGATGTGAACGCCGTTCGAAATGCCGCCTATGAAAACTTGACAATTTTTGAAGTCCGTGGGCTACCGGTATTAAGGACTTCGAGATATGCTTACAAAATACCCTGTCTAATTAATGAGCATATCATATTTTAAGGACATTAGGACACGCAGCACAGTATATCACTAAGAATAGTTAATGACATGGTAAAAAGATTGATGCAAAAATTAGACTTGGACTCAAAAACGCGAATGAACATTTTGACTTGAATTCAAAATGAGGATCCATCAGTTCGCAATATTGTGGTTTCAAAATTGCCACACAAAATCTCCGCGGTCGGATTTAAGCTTCCTGGGTTTTATCAATTTGATTTTTTACTCCAGATCATTTTCCAAAATTTCAAATTTTCATCTCTCTGATCAAAAAAGTGGCATTATCAGTCTATTTCGTCCACTTCTCAAATTAATCAACTGCTTTACTTGAAAAGCCTACCCCTCCACTAATTTCGCGGATCACCAATTGAAAGCCCTGTTCTAAAACGAGGTCGACTTTATAATAACAAAAATTAACAAACCCTGAGCTTCCAAGTGTCTCGCATAGTTGAAAGAAGTGGTCCTGAGGTGGATTCGGTCCACGTCTGCCGCAGTGTCCAGGGCCTCGGCCCAACGATTGGACCCCTGATAAACCTTGTTGAGCAAGTCGAAGCGGCCACAGGCCCGAAACAACCGCTCAGCTTCGTCCACCATGCCCAGTTGCAGGGCCAGCACACCTGCCCGGGCGTCCAGCGGCAACTGCTTCCCGCCCGAGTCCACAGACATCTCCCTGAGGCAACGGGCGCCGCGAGCGTGGCCCATGTTGCCCAGACACACGGCCGCCACGTCCAGTCGCTTGCTCTTCACACACATCTTGGCCATGTTCTCCCACACGGTTTCACTGAAAGAACGTTCGAAAAATTCAGTCGGAAGAGACAATTTTCCAATCATGCTTCAGCGTGTACCTCTTTATGGTTTTGATGGCCTTGAACGCTTCGTCCATGTTTCCAATGCATAAAAAGTAGGAGAAATTCATCATCGCGTCCCGCACGCTTTTGTCCTTTGCCTCCAGGCCAACGAAGTCCCGCATGACTCTTTGCTTCACCATCTTGCCCTTGAAAAGCGATCTCAGCGTGAAAAAAGTTCAGATCTTCGTGAGAAAAATAAAAATGAAAAACTTACAGATTTCGATTCAACGCATTCCGGTTTCGTCAGGAGGTAGAAAAACGGCGTTTGAACACCCAATAGACGACTGATGTCGTTATCGAGGGGGAAAAAGTCTTGGACTACGAGTCCCCCGCTGTCAGCAGTCGCAAACATCGATACCACAATAATCTCCGCCTATTTAAAAAAATATAAATTTTCAGACTCATCTAGATTCAAACTTCTCATTTATTTCAATTAATCCTCCATTCAGATTTGAAAATTAATTAACAAAATAAGGAAGCAATTTTTCACGTCTTGAAATATTATATCATAATAAACAATACGCTTCTTTCTCGTCAGTCATTATTTTTTCAAGTGTTCCGGGCATTCTTTCAAACGTTTGCGATCATCACTGAAAACTAAGCGACAGAAAATTAAAAAATAAATTGTTTTTCGCCAAAAAGAAGGCAGAAAAAGTGGCAACTAAATCTCATCAGTCGCAAACATCGATACCACAATAATCTCCGCCTATTTAAAAAAATATAAATTTTCAGACTCATCTAGATTCAAACTTCTCATTTATTTCAATTAATCCTCCATTCAGATTTGAAAATTAATTAAATGATTAAATGATTAATTAATTGATTAATTAATTAATTAATAAAATAAGGAAGCAATTTTTCACGTCTTGAAATATTATATCATAATAAACAATACGCTTCTTTCTCGTCAGTCATTATTTTTTTCAAGTGTTCCGGGCATTCTTTCAAACGTTTGCGATCATCACTGAAAACTAAGCGACAGAAAATTAAAAAATAAATTGTTTTTCGCCAAAAAGAAGGCAGAAAAAGTGGCAACTAAATCTCA